ACAGAGCAGGTCAATCCATCAAATGGCAGTGCTGGGATAGGTGAGTGTTATCTGTCAGTGATGGATGTTGCTGCTTATGCAAATCCATCACGAGATTCCAGCTGCAAAATGTTCAGCTCTTTGGGAGCAGGGCTGAAGTTTTCCACAGCTGAGTTAAAGGAAGGAGCTGTGCTGGCTGAGGAGAGCAAGTGTAGGGTTGGAAAAGTCCTAAAACTTGGTGTTTGGGGAATTGTGGAATCTCCCTTGTGGAAGGGACCCACAGGGATCATCAGGGCCCTGCGCAGGACACCCCAACCATCAGATGTGTCTCTTGGGTACCAAGGATGCTCAGGCAGGGAATAGAAAGTGGGAAGGCACCAAAATCCCCCCCAGGGCTGGTTGGGGTGGGTTTGGGGCCCAGTGGCAGGATTGATTTGCTCGGGGGATGAGCAGAGGAGCAGGTTGATTCTGCTGTGCTGGAGCCCTTTCCTGCTCATTGCTGGTGTTTGCTCAGTGAATCATCCCATTCCACCATGGGCAGCAGGACTGGGCTGCCCTGGAGAGCCCTGGGCTGGGTCTGGCTCCTCCCCTCTGTCCTTCTTGTCCTTTGCTCATCCCTGTCCCACAGATGATTTGCTTTTCCATTATTAACTTGACCATCACCATCATAATTTATTATGATTATAATAATTATCATCACGGTCACTATTTTTATTATCACGCTCGATATTATTATTATTATTATTATTATTATTATTATTATTATTATTATTATTATTATTATTATTATTATTATTATTATTATATTTCTCTATACAAAGAGTGGTTTTTTGGCTTTACCCAAAAAGCCTCAGCCCAAAGCAGCTCAGCAGCCACAGCTAGATCCCATTGGAGGACTGTAAATATTGAGAAATCCTGGATAAAGGCTCTGGGGCTCATTGAATTTTAAAAGGCAACCAGTTTGTGGTGTGAGTGACCCAATTTTAACATGAAAAACCCACGTGGAGGGAGACTGGATGAGGCTGATGGAAACCTCCCTCTCTGGGGGCAGTTTTGGGTCATTAAATAAGGATCAGTGCTGGTAATAAACGACATTTTTAAGATTTTTGGAACCATCCCAGGCTACTCTGACACTGTCCCCTGTGCAAACACCCAAACCATTCTGGGGGATTCTCAGAGGATCAGGAATCTTCCTGTGCTGGTATTCCCATCTGCAAAAAGGGACCTGTGCAAAGTTGACTTGCTTTGCTTGCTTGTTCTTGTGAAGCGCTTTCCCTCCATCTGGATGGAGGAGCCAAAGCCATTCCCTTTGGATGTGCAGGATTCCAGCAGAGTTTGGTTTCCCGAGGGTGTTGTTTTGGAGGCAGTGGAGCCATTGACTCGGGGGTTGCATTTTGTCAGGGATAAAAAAAAAAAGGCAAATGGGATGCAAATGTGCTTCCAGGGGAGCAACTTCATCCTGGACTGACCTTCCTCAGAAGGGGACACTGTGATGTTTGTCCCCTGTGGGTGACAGCTCCTACTCCTCAGCCCCGAGGGCGTGAGGAAGGTTGTTCCCCTTCTCCAACCCACCAGGACAGTGGTGTAAATGGGAGAAACCACGAACCCAAAGAGAGCAAAACACCCCCCAGGAGCTCTGCCCCTCCTCTCCCCTGGTGTGTGAGCCGAGCTCAGCTCAGCAGGGCCCGACCCAAATCTCCCCATCCCGTGTCCCCATCACCCAACAGAGCTGGCCCAGGGGCTGTTTGGGGGCTCAGCCTCCTGCCTCAGCAGCAGCAGCAGCAGCTCAGGAAGCCAGGCTGCATCTCCATGTTGCCATGACACTGAGCCACCCCCGAGGCTGCAGCTCCCTTGCCCTCCGTGACCCGATTCCCGAGGATTTGGTGTCTCACCCACGCCCGTCTCTCTCAGGCAATTACCTGCTCTGATTGCTCCCCCTCGCCTGTCACTGCTGCATCGGTGCTTCTATCTATTTTAATCAAGTGAGTCAGGCAGACAGAGGGACCAGGCAAAACACTGCTCCTGTCCCTGTCTCCTGGCTGGCTGGGGGATGGCTGGGAATTCAGCGAGCGTGGAACGCTCTTGTTTGGGTGGATTTACAAGAGACAATTTACAAGGGCCTGGAGTGACAGCACAAGGGGGAATGGCTTGCCACTGCCAGAGGGCAGGGTTAGATGGGATATTGGGAAGGAATTCTGGCTGTGAGGGTGGGCAGGCCCTGGCACAGGTTGCCCAGAGAAGCTGTGGCTGCCCCATCCCTGGAAGTGTCCAAGGCCAGGTTGGACAAGACATGGGAAAGGTTGGAATTGGATGATCTTAAAGTTCCCTTCCAACCAAACCCATGCCACGATTCTGTTCCTGCACATCACAACAGGGAAGTCTTCCAGGTTTGGGATGCCCTGGCTGCAACACATGTGGCACATCTGGGATGCTCAGGGCTGGAACCTGCTGTGCTTGTGGGGCTGCTGGGCAGGTAAATATTGCTGAAGTGCAGCTGCTTCCTTTGTTCTGCAATTCCCAAGCAAACGGACCCGAACGATCCAGTGCAGTATGGGCACTAAAAATAACTTTATTCAATCAATTTTTCAAAAATAAGAATGTTCCTTAAAATTATGCCAGCACCAGCCAGCACTGCCTCTTGGGAATTTTATTCTGACTCATTTTTCTTCCAGTTCTGTACCTTTTTTTTTTTTTTCCTTTCCCTCTTTATTTTTTTCTTGCTCCTGTTTACCAAATATCACTAAGTTTGGGCTGTCCTCTGTTACTCTCCTACAGGATGAGGTGGATATTGCAGGTTTTAAAGTTGGTTTTGGCACGGGGGAACAGGAAGTGTGATTGCTCTAATTTGCTGGGACTGGGGCAACACATCCCTTCCAGTGCCTGACCACCTTTTCCAGGGTGAAATTCCTCCTGAAAAATGTGGGCATCTTCATGGCCTGGCCTTGAGGTCTTCTGGACACACCAAGCCCCTCTCCTGCCTCCTCCTGCAGCCGCTCTTGCCGCTGCTAGGGGATGGATGTGAGCTGGGGGTGGTTTCCAGATCCTCAGCTTTCCAACCAGCCTGGTTTCTAAAGGCAAAATAAGCCTGTGATATTTCCAGAGGAGGAATTACACCCAATCCTGCTGCTCCCCAATGAGCAGAACATCCCCAGAGTGCTCTGAAAATCCCAGTCTCTCAGATTAGTGTGTGTATATATATATATATGTGTGTGTGTGTATCTGTGTATATTTAGTGCATTAGTCACATCTTAAGCTATAAAAACCGAAATTTCAGCTGGCTGCTTCCTCTGTAAACATATGTTCTCCTTGCAACTCTAACTTGGCTTTTCTAGCTTTGGGTTCTTCCTCAGCACCGTGTGCAGTCGGTGCAGATAGAACAGGAAAAACCACAATCCTGCCAAATCCCAGCGTTTCAAATAATGGGTTCAGGCTCCCAAAATCCCCTGACTGGCTTAAAAATAATAAGATTAGGTGAAAAGAGCGAGCACAAGCGGTTCAGTTGCTGGGAGTCCTGTGGCTCCTGCCTTTCTCCAGCGTGGGAATCAGGGCTGGGATCGGGCTTGGTTGGGGAACTTTAGGTGAAGCTGTGGCTGATCTCTCTGAAGGACCTGGGAATTTTAAGCAGGGCCATCACAAGGCATGGAATGAAAGCACTGGAGTTTGTGGCACAGGGGGAATACAGTCCCAGCTCTTTTTTGCTGTGTTTATTGCAGAAGTATCTGTAGAATTTGAGGGAGGGAGGGGAGAGATGATCTGCCTGGAAATGGGGAGGAGCAAAGTGGCTGAACTGCCTCGGATTGTCTGTGCTCTGGGGTGTCTGAGCCTGACCTGCACCCACAGCACTGGAGGTTTCTGGGCTTTATTTGGAGTGGGGAAGTGACTGATGGAGAGGGAATGAGACACAGTGCAGGGTTGAAGCCTGGCAGCCTGGTCACTACTGAGGCAATTTAAAAAGAGAGATTTAGAAGTGACCTTTCCAACGAGACAGGCAGTTTATTTTCCTTTCGTTTTTCTATTTAAGAGAAATTTTTAAGTTTTAAGTAACGATTTTGACCTGCAGCCCAGAAAATCCCCTTCCAGATGTGTAAGGATTTTACAGTGAGGGTGGGGAGGTCCTGGCAGGGGTTTCCCAGAGAAGCTGTGGCTGCCCCATCCCTGGAAGTGTCCAAGGCCAGGTTGGATCAACCTGAGATAGTGGAAGGTGTCCCTGCCCATGGCAGGGGGTGGAAGGAGATGAGCTTTAAAGGTTCCTTCCAACCCATACTATTTTATGATGTGAAAGTCTGCTACAAACAGGAATTCTCCACGTTGTTTTGCTGGCTAAAATGTGTGAAATTCCTGCAACACACCCTTGAATTCCCATCTCTCTTCTTAAACCAAATCAAGGCCTCACAAGATAAACTGGCACAGCGGGGGAAAGGAAAGGTCTTGCCCGTGCTGAGGCATCTTCTGGCAGCCCAGAGCTCTTCATCTTCAAGCCACTGGTCTTTGCCTTGAGGTGATTTCAGTAAAACCCAGTGGAAATGGTGAAATGATGGGGAAATGATGAAGAGCATCAGCCTCAGGACTGAGCATCAGCATCAGTCATTGCATTTTGGGGCAGAGCCTGGTTTCTGTGCTGCCACTGGGTTAAACTCAGGATTAAATTTCAGTCTGAGGGCCGGTGCTGACCCCAACACGAGCCGGGAAAACCTCTCGGGGCTCTGCTCTTCCCCAACTCCTTCCCAAAGGGCATCTGGGGAACTGGAGCTGGGCCCAGTTACTCTGGAGATGTCGCTTCCCTGGAATTTGTGCCGGAGGGAGCAAAGTGAAGCCGACCCTCTGCAGTCCCCTCTGCCTCCAGCGCTTCGTCCGGGTCTCCCTGTCGCGTCTTTCCCCCTTGGAAGCGAGTTTTGGGAAGTCGCTGCTGGTAAACTGGGCGGTGCTTTCGTGGCCTCCAGAGCAGCAGTTGCCATGGTGACTCCTCCCAAATTCCCGGTTTTGCACAGTCACGGTTTCCACGGATCCGCCGGGGAGGGAGGACCGGGAGGATCCCGGTGCCAGCGGCACACGAGCCAGGGCTGCTGATGGCCCGTGGGGCTGAGCTTGGTGGGACCATCCCTCACCTTCCCGGACCTCCTGGTTGTGAAACACCTGGACAAGCTGTGTGGGAACATCCACAGGGCTGCTGTGCTGGGGCACTTCTGTCTCCAGCCACGTCCTTGCGGTTTGTGCTGGTGTTGAGCTGCTCTCCAACTTCTATCACCTTTTCTTCTGTTCTCTCCTCTGGGTGTTTTCATATTAAACAAGAATGGGGCTTTTCTTCCATGATGGACATGCCAGGCTGGCCAAGGCTCTGCTGGGAACCAGAATCCCACCCTGCCAGGCAGCATCACCTCCTGCTGCCCTGCTTTGGGGGCTGTGGGTGGCTTTGAGGGGGCTCTGGAAAAGCTGCCAGCCAGGGGTTCAGTCCCAGCTTTTGGGGTGAGGAAGGGGCAGTGAACTGAAATCCCCTTGGCTGTGGGAGTGCAGGCGGGAGGGAGGATTAGTCCCATCGGGGTAATCCCGCTTTCCAATTAGGGATTTCACTGTCATTAATCTGATGGGAAAATAAATAGGGCAGGGGCTTAAAGCCTTTGGGGGAGCCAAAGAGGTGCAAGAGGAGAAGGTGGGTTGGAGGGGCTGAGCAAGCTGGGACATCTCAGTTCAGACCCCTCCAGCACATCCCCTCGGGAAGGGATTGGGAATGACAGGACAGGAGCATCCCCAGGAACACTGAACCCCTGAGCAGGGGCTTCCTTCTCCAGTCTGTTCTCCAGCCAAAGCAAAACTGTTCCTTTCAGTGGGTTTCCTTCCACCTTTTCGACCTTTCCTTCAAAGGCAGCCCAAGTTTGCTTTTGTCTTTTTTCCACCCCGAGTTTGCTTTTGTCTCTTTTCCCACCCCGTGGCTGTGCCTGACCCTGCTGACAACACTGGCAGCCTCTAAACATCCGTGACCACGATGGCCCAGCCTTTCTTTTTCTCGTGGAAAAATCAAACTCTTCTGCCACCCTCAAAGACACCAAAAATTTGGTGTTAAATGAGTGGCTCTGCCTGTCTTTAAGGAATCAGGGCTCTGGTTTGGACTCCAGTGACAGTTCTCCTCGTGCAGGTGATGGTTTCACCGTAAAAAGCACAATTAGATCATTTAGAAGACTAAAAGGATAAAGTTGTTTGAGATCTGATGAGCAGAGCACCTGAACAAAGGTCTGGGGTAGCTCATTAGCAGTTCAAAATCCACATGCTCTTACTTTGATTACTTTAAAGGAAAAAAAACCCCAAACAAAACACATCTACAAGTATAATAAGTGAAATGAATGCAATTGCAGGTTCTCTGGGAACGATACTGGAGCCCTGGGAATAGCACAGGAGCCCTGTTTCTAGGGAGTTTCACATGGATCCCATCAGACAATGCAAATATTGTGAGTAGGATGTGGCCATGGTTGGGCTTTGTTTGGGTCTGATTTGGGCTGTGTCCTCTGTGGGGCAGGATTGTCACTCAGCTTTGAGTTAGGCAAGAGGGAAGGGGATCCAACCAGCCCCTGAAGATGTCAAAACTGAGGGAAGAGTCATTTAAGGGAGGGAGAAATTAAACCAAGGTTGGTATTTCAGAGGGGCACAAGTCCTTGGGGCTGTGGGCAGGAGCTTCTCCTGCTCCACTGACCAGGGGGGTTATTTCATTTCTTTATCTGATTTCATGCATTTCCCTTTTAGACAAGTGGGTTTTCAAGCCTGGCATGTTTGGTTCCCAGCAAGGTGTTCCCAGCTCTGGCTTTTCAAACTGAAGCCCTCTCTCAAACAAGATTTGGAGTGGGATCAGGTTTTAGGGAAGCTGCAAGACCTGACCCTGGTGATTTCTCTTTTTCCTTCTCACCTGGATAAATAGTAGTGGGTGCAAAAGTAGTTTGATCTGCAGCCCTGCACTTAATCTTATGCTGCAATAAATCTTGTGCTGAACTGACAAAATAATTCTAAAAGCAGCAGGGATAAACACGGAGGGTTTTTTTGTTGTTGAGGTTTCCAAAGCAGAATTGCTCTTCTCAGGAATAAGACAATGTCTGTGCCCTTCTCTCTCACATAGGTGTGTGTGTGTTTGGAAGCAAAAAGGTTTATTCATGCCCAGATGTTTCCAATTATTTTCCTAAAACAGTTCCCTCATTCATGCTCAATTTGTGAAACTCCTATTCAGTCCACCCAAATCTTTTTTTTTTTAATGATTTTTATTAGTCCTCCCAGCAGAAGGAACAAGCAGCTCTGGGGCTATTTCACACTCCTGCAAATCACCACTTACTACTTGGATGCTATTACTGTTAGCTGAGGGCTGGTGGGTCCTGGTTTACATCCTGGAGCAAGGAACTGGGTACAGGCTGGGTCCTGGTGGTTGTGGTGCCTTTGTTTGCTCTCTTTGCCTTAACAGGGAAAAGGTTTCATGCTGGAGGCCGTTTGGGGTGATCCACTGCTCAGACTGGGAGATCTGGAGGTGGGAGATGAGCCGGGAGAAGGGTTTGTGACGGGAGGAGGGTTTTCGGTGCGTTCTTTGCCTCAGCCTCCCCCCCTCCCAAAGCCTTGTGCTGTCCTTAACCCTGCTCCCAGGTGGTTTGAGCACGTCAGCATGCTGGTGATCCTGCTGAACTGCGTCACCCTGGGCATGTTCCAGCCCTGCGAGGACGTGGAGTGCCAGTCGGAGCGCTGCACCATCCTGGAGGTGAGGAGCCCACCCTGCCCTGTGTGCCTGGGAGGGGTGCAGGGGAGCAGGGTAGACCCCTATCTTGTCCCTTTTTCCCCAAGGTCCAGCTATTGGATGGTTTTTCCAATAAGCCACACTTCCTCATGCAGGGAAACCTGCTGCCCTGGCCTCGGGTGAGACCCAGAGGCTGAATGGGACTTGATCCAGCAAGATCCTTTCACTGCACACCTAATAAGGGAAGGGGGGCTCAAAAGTGGGCAGCCAGCTCCCACTGGGGTTGTTAAACACTATTTAATTACAAAATTCATGGCTGCCCCATCCCTGGAAGTGTCCAAGGCCAGGTTGGACGGGGCTTGGAGCAACCTGGGGTAGTGGGAGGTGGGTGGAACGAGATGAGCTTTAAAGTGCCTTCAAACCCAACCTATTCTGGGATTCTGTGGCCAGTTCCACGGGGAATCCCCCCCTTGCAGTCCATCAGTTCCATCCCTTGGATTTGTGCAGTCTGGCCTGTGCCTGGTGGCACCGGCGACTTTGCCACTTCATCCCCAAATTTAGGAACAACAAAGCCTGGGATGAGCCTGTGCCTGCTCTGCTGCATAGCAGGGCCCCCCAGCTGAAGTACAGCAGTGCCAGGTCCTGGTGTTAGTGACCTTTGGGAGATGCATCCCAGCCCCATCGGCCATCCCCAACACCGCGCCCGTGTCCCCTCCCTCTCCCGGCAGTGTCCTCGCTGCCACACGCCCGCAGGACTGGCTTTGGAAGCTCATCCCGGCGGCATCTGCTGTGTGGGCTGCACCTTGGCACTGGGCTCCCTGCAGCAACTCATTCCTCAGGCTGGGAACCAGCCCCCCCGTGTTCCCAAAGCGTGACATCAGCCCGGGCAGGGATTGCCGTGTGCTGGTGGAACCAGCTCGGTTCCTTTGAGTCCCCCACGGATCTGATGCTTTGCTTCCCTTTGAGTGTTCCAGCCAGTGAGGCCCTTCAGAGAATCCGAGAATGGGTTGGGTTGGAAAGGGACTTTAAAGATCCCCTTCCAACCCCCTGCCATGGGCAGAGATCCCTTCCACCATCCCAGGTTGCTCCAAGCCCTGTCCAGCCTGGCCATGGAAACTTCCTGACAGATTTTCAGGCAGAAAAGGGTTGTGAGTAAAACCACCATCATCCCTCCCCTTGTCCCAGCTTGCAGGAGGGAGTGGAAGTCTGAACATGGGGTGGAAAAGCCTGAACTTCTTTATGGAGGCGTTTGGATGCCAGTTATTAAATGAACTGAAATATGGAGCAAAACTTCTGGGGAGTTTGTTAAGGAAAAGGTTGGTTGATAAAGCCAGCAGTCCCTCTCCAGCTCTCCTGGAGCCCCTTTAGGCCCTGCAAGGGGCTCTCAGGTCTCCCTGGAGCCTTCTCTTCTCCAGTTGAACCCCCCAGCTCTCCCAGCCTGGCTCCAGAGCACAGGGGCTGTGATGTCCATGTACATTTATCAGTAGATAAATAAGAGCTGCTGACACTTCCCAGGCACTGCACTGACCCGGGAGCTACACCCAGGGGTTGCCACCACCCACCAGGCACAGCAGGATTTATTTTGGAGCTGGGAGGTGGCACTTTGGTGGCAGTGCTTCACCTGGCAGCCTGTCCCAGGGTCCGCCTGGTGGGAGCAGCGGGGTCTCTGCCGTCCCTGAGTTACAGCAGAACTGACTGTAACCCTCTTTGTCCCGTTTTTTTTTTTGTCTCCAGGCTTTTGACGACTTCATTTTCGCTTTCTTTGCGGTGGAGATGGTCATCAAGATGGTGGCCCTGGGGATCTTCGGGCAGAAGTGTTACCTTGGAGACACGTGGAACCGCCTGGACTTCTTCATCGTGATGGCAGGGTCAGTAAAAAAAAAAAAAAAACCTCAGCGTTTTGCTTTTCATGCTGAAAGCAGGAAAACCCCAAAAAGCCAAAACTGCAGGTTGGCCTGGCTGGTTTTCGTCGTGTTTCGTGAAGGCTCAAGCCAAGGCAAAGTCTGATCACTCTTATTTTCCGTACCCCACCTCGTAACCACGCCCGTTTTTGGGGTGGGTTATGAGTATCAGGCAAAGCTGTTGGGTTCTTGTAGCACGTTTCACCTCTGCCAAATCAAGAACCTGCTGATCTGGCCCTTGTGATGGCCACAGTGTCCCAGTGCTCAGCATTACCTGGTGTCTCCTGAAGGGGTGGAAAAAGCACGGGGCAGCTCAGCCCTGCTCCTGCTGGGACACCCTTAGAGGTCCTTTGTCACTGCTCCTGCTGGGACACCCTTAGAGCGAGGCAGAAGTTGGCCAAACGAGGAGAACTGAACCCAAAAACCTGCTTCAGGAAGTTGAAATCCCAGTGGAAGGAGCTGGCCAGAATTTAACCCAAATTACAAGCGCAGGCAAACGCCTCCTGTAAACTCCTCTTGATTTACAGTGAATACCATCTCCCACAGCTGCTTGTTTGTGCAGGATGTGTTAACAAACAGATACAAGGAAGATCCTGTTGCTTTTGACACCAGTTCCCTCACACCCACAGGGAATAACTGAGTGGACTAAAAGCTTGGCAAGCCTAAAACTTTTTTCCCAATAAATAAATAAATGGGTTTAGAAACCCTGGGCTCTGTTACCTGCTTAGCAGCCCCTGAGAAGGGATATAATCCTTTAATTACTGCCTTAGTTCTGAATTCCTGGGTTTATAATGACCAGCCTGGGGTTAATTAGAACATTCTTGTAATATGTTGGGGCATTTTTTCCCCTTCCATTAGTGATGTACCATCTTCCAGTGCACTAATGGAGTTTTGTTTTGCTCCGTGTTATTTGTCTGGAATACAATTAGGAACGGCCTGAGCAGCTTGAATAAAAGATGAGCTCTTCCTTTGAACCCCTGTGTGGTTCCAGCCCAGGAAGGAACATCAGGGACAGCAGGAGAACCAGTTAATTATTTTTTCCTGCCAAAGCTGCTGCGGTGTTTAAGCTGCTGTTTAAGTGGGGAGGGCAGAGCAAGGCTGTGGGAGATGGGAGAATTCAGGGGCAAAACCAACGGTGCTTCCCCACCCTGGACACGCGTGGACTGCGCCTGAGGGGGCGAGCAGATCATCACACAGGTCACCCCAACACCAGGAGGATGGCACAGAGGCAGGGTTGGCACCAGAGAGAGAGAGCTTTGCTCTCCTAGCACCCGGGATGAGGGGGAAAGTGAATCACTTGGGTGGTTTTCTAGGGCTTTTCCCCACCCTCCACGGCTGGAATGAGTTCCAGAAGGATGAAAGCAGCAGAAGCACCGGGAGACCCCACAGGGAAGCCCTGCTGCTGCTCTGGCATTACTCAGAGGAAAAACCCCTTCTCTGGCCAGTCCTGGGTCATCTCCAGATGACTTTGGTTATCTTGTATTTTTGGATATTATTTCCCGTCTGTCAAAGGAGAGGCTGGACTGGGAGCTGAGCTGGCTGGCAACACTGGTGCAGGACAAGGAGGAGCTGTGCAGTGCCTGGGGTTCACCCCTCCCACCAACACCCTTCGACCCAGTGTCTGCCCCTAAAACTGGAGGTGGTTTTAGCAGGGAACACGCTGCTGGAATAACAAGAGCCGCTTTTTCCAGCGAGCAGATGGATGTGCTGGAGTTCTGACGAGGCTTTTTCTGACAAGAAGGGAAACAAGTGAGAGGCAGAGCTGCCCTGCTTTGTTTGTCCCGTTCCATCTCCTCAAAGGAGCTGATTTGCCTCACCAGCGACACACCAAAGGGAGCGGAGGGTAAGCAGGGAAACTACAAAATAAACATCTCTCCTGCCTCTAGCAACAGCTTGTGTCTGAAGTTTGTTCCAGCTCCGAAAGCCCTTTCATGTTTTCCTCGCCTGAGAAACGAGCCCTGGAAGATTTCAAGCCGAGGGGAGCTCGAAGCGGCTCCGTCTGTCCAGCAGCCAAGTTGAAAGCGTTTCCTCAGCGTCAGGAATGTTGTTCACAGGGAGCTGAAACCAGAGAGGTTTCTTGTGCATCCAGTCCCTGGAGACGTTGCAGGCTCCCAGGATGTGCTTTGGACATCTTTGAACTCGACAGCTGAAGGGTTGGGAGCTGCTGATGGCAGGAGACAGCCCGTGCCTCCTGTTTTTCGGTGCCCAGAGGCTGTAGGGAATCACCTACCAAGTGCCAGTCAGTCTGAATTTTCCAGCTCCAGCAGGTTTCCGGTGGGTTTTTCCAAGGTATGGTGTGATCTGAGACCAGGACCCCAAGCTTGGCCTTGACAAGGAAACCTTTGACCTTTTCATGAAGGTTTCAAATATTTTCTCTGCTTGTAGGAAGTCCAGCATGGAATCCATCAAGTGTTTCAGGCCGGCTTCGGTGGGCAGTATAGACTCCCCTGAGTCTAAATGGAATATCATGGAACTCCAAAGATTCAGAAAGTCTGTTTCCTGGGGCAAATCCTGGGTTATTCATCTTTTATCAGCTCCCCTGAAGCTCTAAGAGCCAAGTTAAAGTGAGGAATCCAGGAGCTGGCCCTTTGACATGCTAATTTGGGATGGGCTCTCTGGAGCATCTCCTGCCCCTTCCCCATGCTGTAGCAGCTCACAGGCTGTATCAGCTGCACCTGATAAACTGAGAGTGTGCTGCACTGGGGCCAGGTCAGTGAACAGATCCAGGCCCTGGCACTGCTCATTTTGAGGGCTTTAAACCACACTTGGTCTTATCCCTGCAAGGTCTGTTGTGAGCAAGCCCCATGGTGCTGGCCCCAAACCCCTCCATGCAGGTGTGGGTGGGCATTTCCGATGGTTTTCCCACTGTGTGGTCCTTCGTGGGGCACTGGGCTGATTCCCAGTGCTCTGCTCCAGCTTCACAAACACAGGGCAGATTTAGAGCCTGGTTTTGTGCCGTGCTGAGTTTGGAAGCTTTAAGAATAACTTCAAGAATTATTCAAGATCGCCAAGCCCAGCCCTCAGCCCATGTCCTCAGCGGGTCCTGCCCATCAGATTTGGCTCAGTTCCTACACACAAGGTGGGTTGGATTTATAAAGACTCGCTAACTACTCCAGGAAAGAAGAAAAAAATATCTCTGGAAGGTTATCCCTGAAAACAGCTCAAAATCACCGGAGTCTCTGCAGAGCAAGGTGGGGAGAAGGGGGCGAAGTCACCTCAGTGTAATACCAAACAGCTCCAGGACAAAGCCAAGCAGAGAAGCAAACATCAGAACATCCAGATACTCCTAATTAATCAGTGTGGAGCAGGGCAAGGCTTCAAGTACAGAGTGCAAGGCTCCAGCAGCGCAGAGCATGGGCACATGGGCAGTGATGAGCTGGCCCCACACCAAAACCTCCTCTGCTGGTGCCCAAAATCCACTCAGCTGTTGCTTTCTGAGGGCACCTAAGGATTTTGGTCTGTCCTGGCTGCAGGAGGCTTCTGTGGAAAATCTGCAGCTTCTGAAGGGCCTGGTTGCAGCAGCTCAGCTCCTATTTGCCTCTGTCCTTCCCTGTCTGTTTGTTTATTTAAAAAAACCAAAACAAAAGCTCTTTCTCCACGGGATCCAACAGCTCACTCACAGGGTTGCTTTTGATGCTGCTCTGTTATTTGAACAGGCGTGGTGAGAGATTTGTGACATATTTACAAGTGTTTCCCCGTAGTCAGACTCATAAATTGTAATTACAGCCATGCTAACTAGCCATAACCCCATTAAAAAAACAACACTACGCACATTTGCCACTCATTGCTATAAAAGAGCAAGAAAACCGACTTCATTTAACGCCCTTCCCAGCCTGGAAGAGAAATGTTTATGGGGGATGGAGATGAAGCATGAAAAAGAAAATGTTCCCCTAATAATCAAATGGAAATCAAACTACTCCAACGTTGTTTGTCAGCTTGGATGTTCAGGTCTTGTCTTGGTGGGGGGGATAAGCTGGTGGGTAAATCCTCTGGGGTGCTGGTAGGGGGGATGTATCAGGAACATGGCATTGCCTTGGAGGTACTTGGAGGCAGCAAGAACTCCAGGCAGCCCCATTCCCAGCAGGCCCTGATCCTGACTGCTCTGCTCTCTCCCCACAGCATGATGGAGTATTCCCTGGACGGACACAACGTCAGCCTGTCGGCGATCCGCACCGTCCGCGTCCTGCGGCCCCTGCGAGCCATCAACAGGGTCCCAAGTGAGTGCCACCTCCCCTGGCACCGCTGCCAGGCCACCCCAGCTGGCTCTGCGTGGGCTGAGCCTTCCATTAGTACCCTGCTCTCCTGCTGCTGAGACCAAATTCGTTGATTTTCATTTTCAGAGGTCAATTTTTCTCATTATTAGCGTTAGCAAAGGGCAAAGGGAATAAGATTTTATCGCCGGAGCCCAAATTTTTGTGGCTGTCCTCCAGCATTTCCGTGACTTCTCTGAGGCAAATAACTCCCTGCTCCTTGTGTAAACTAAATAAAGTTCCTATAAAGAAAAGGGAGAGGTCAGTTCTAAGGAGGATCTTCTTGCCCTGGTGGGTTCATTTTCCCTGCTCAGCGATTTGAGGTCTCTCCATGGCTTTGTGTTCAGGATTAGCCTCCGTTTGCTGCTAAAATTTGCTGTCATGTAGAACAAAATTGGGTTCATCCACGATAGGAAGTTCAAGTGGCCCCTAAATCCATTTTCAAGTGGCTTCAGCTGCTTGTCTTCTAAATCCAATTTGAAAGACGACCCAACAAGTTGAAATAATTTCCTGCCGGAATCGGCCACTGCTGAGCAGCCCCTTTGCGAGGTGCTCATTTCATGGAGCTTCCATCAGCTGGCAGCCAAATCCCACTCCAATCAGAATGCAGCAGGATTGTATGGAAATCATAGAGGTCCCTTGCAAAAAAAAAAAAAAAAAAAAGGACATTTCCTGCATTTCCTGTTCTTTTTGGAAGCGCTTCTGAATGGCACAGCCCCACATCCTGCCTGGATTAATTGCCCGTCGTGTCGGCACTTCCAGGGACAGCAAAACAACCTCCCCCAGAAGGGTTTCGGTTCCAGTGCCTCAGAGGAACATGTGAGGGAACAGATGGATGTTTACTCACAGGAGTCTTTGAAGTTTCTCTCTGAACTCCCAATTCTACAGGATTTTTTTTTTTTTTTTGGGGGGGGGAGGTTGGGAAATCAGCTCAACATCGGCCGTGACATCATCAGTTCAAAACAAGACAAAAAGAGGCTGTAAGGGACCAGGAAACCCCCTCTGGAGCTGTTGTTTTTGCCTGGGGAGGTTTTGTCCCCGGGGTGGCAGAGCTGCCCCAAAGCTCAGCCCAAGTTTTCCCGCTGGGATTTGGTGGCTGGGCTGGGCTGGAGCAGCGGGACCCGGCACGTGCTCGGCTCGGGGGTTCCAGGCTGGGGCTGGGATCAGGCGCCCTCTGAAGTTCTCTAAATCCATGAAACCCTTCCTGGCTCTCCCATGGAGCAGTGGGAGTGTCAAGCTGGGATTCAGCATGGGAATGGGAGGATTTGCATGCCTATTCATCCAAATGCCTCCAGGTTCAGATGAAATTCGGATCTGTGGCCAGCTTGTGATTTTTCTCCCTTAGGACTCTGACTGTGAGGTTTTGAAATGAGCCTTTCAGGCTGTTTCTGCTGCATTTCCCGTGGGACTTTTGTATTTTTTGCAAAGGACAGGAGATAGAAAATACTCAGTTTTTTTATTAATATTCCCTGAGATTGAATCCAGTGAGCTCAGCCCAGGTTTGGGGAGGAGTTGCCTGGTTTGAGGAGCAGCTGGGCTGGGCTCGCACCACCACCAGTGTCCTGAACCAGTGCCAGGGCAGGATTAGTGTTCTTGGAAATATCTCTGTTCCTGGAGGGCAGATCATCACAGCCTTCCCTTGTTTAAGAGCCACCAACTCCATCCACTCTGAACGCTGGGAATTTTAGTTCCAGGCTGATACAATCCTGGGTCTGCTTGGAATGGGTGGTGACATCCTCTATTTTATTGCGTTTTTGCTGTTTCTGGTAATAAAAATGTTACACTTTTACTCTTTCCTCCATGAGGATGCTCCAGCTTAGTCAAGGAATTACCTTCCATGGCATTCCCAGCACCAGGAACAGCAGTTTTGGCTCAGGGACAGACAAAGTGCACAACCAATTCCAGCTGGGTCAGGAGAGATGAGGCTGGTGGTCAGTCACCACCCAGGGAAGCAGGGACCCTGGAGAACTCCCCTGGAGATTTATCCCTGAGATTCCTGGGATGCAGCCAAGCACTCTTAGCTCTTGTGCTTCCAGGCACAATAAAGTCACCCACAAGATTATATTGTTTCGATTCTGTTTGGTAAGAAAAGAAAGAAGAACCTCAGCCAATAAAAACATCATCTCTATTAGAAATTATTCCTTGGAAATGACTGGAAAAATAGAATTCCTGCAATTTATATCTTTGGCAGGGGCTGTAGTTTGGGATTTTTTTTTTTTTTAGCAGTGGTCACTGAGGATTTTTTTTTTCAAATCCACTTCAGTGCTTTATTTTTATTTTTCTACGATGTGGTTTCAGCCAGGCATCGCATGGAATGGGAATGGAAAGGAATCCTGAGCCTTGTTTCAGCCTGATGCCCGTGCTCTTTTCCCATGGCACACTTGACATTCCCTGAGAGCCCCCTGAGCAGATAAGGAACAGATGGATTCAATCCTGAGAATGGTGCCACGAAACAACCCCAAATACCAAAAGTAGCTGAGCAGAAAAAAAAGTTGTCTGGCACAGGGAGATGAATTTTAACCATTTTTGGATAAAAAAAAAAGAGCGAGGATATTACTGAGAGTTGGGGGAGGAGGGCAGAGAAAGAAAAGCCCAGCATTGTCTTTCCAGAGGGAATTCAGTGAGTCTTTTCTGCTTTTCCAAAGATAGATTGGCAAGGAAAGCCTGCAGGGCTGTGCTGTGGGATGTGCTCCTTGGGGGGGGCTTCGATGACAACAGAAGTTGGGAATAAACACCAGGAATTCAATTCTTTCCCCCCCTTTGCCTCCACCTCTGGGTCTCCCTGTGCTCCGTGCTGTTCCCTGCGGTTCCGTGGGGTGGAATTTGCCACATCCCTTCCCTGCAGGGTGGCACTGGCACCAGGGCAGCAGGGGGACGGGGTTTGGAGGGTGGCTGGCACAGGGCTGGGCGCCAGGACCGCGGCTCCTCCGGAGAGGCATCCGCTGCCGGTGCCAGCTGCGGGAAGCTGTGCCAGAGCCAAGGCACAGCTGGGCACGGGAGACCTTGGGAGGCTCCTGCCCTGGGTGCAGGGGTCATTACTCACACCTAATTATTTCTCAACACAGACTTCTTGGCCAGGCTGGTCCAGGCTGTGCTGACAGGGTGGTGGCAGCTCCGGCCCCTCTTGGCTGCCTTGGATTTCCGCCGGCCAGGAGCGGGATGAAGCGGCGGGATGGGATCCCAGCTCCTGCCAGCCCTGCCCTGGGAAGGGCTGGCATGGAGGGGTTCATCTCTCCTCCCCATCCCACCACCCAGCACCATGGAATCTGCAGGAGAGGCACGGGGCACAGCCTGGGAGAAGCCGAGGTGGAACCTGATAGGGATCTGCGTGTCAAAGCCACTCTCCGTTCCCATGGGATGGCTGATGGAGAGCGGCATCCTGGCCAGGGAATAGGGAGGGGAGAAAAGGCCCCATGAAGGCAGGCAGGAAAAGGTGTTTGCAGAGGGGAATTTCAGGGGGATAAAATCTCCCAGCAGCAGCCACACTGATTTCCTGGGCCGTGAACTCGAGCCCTGCTCCCTGTGGAGCGCCGGGATCCCGAGGCTCAGCTCAGCTTTTTTTTTTTTTTTTTAGCATTTCCTTTGTTTCTTGCTCTGTTCATTAATGGCTGGTGGCTGTCTCAGAGGCTCCTTTAACCTCAGTGGGACTGCTGAGCTGTGAGTCGTTATTCCCTTTTTTATTCCTGCCTTATCCTTGAGTGTGAAGTTGCCCTGATGAGTGAGCCAAGGGCAGCCCCCCAGGTGCCAACCCCATCCCTGCCTCCTTGCCCAGCCAGTGCTGGAAGATGCCAGGGTTTGCTGGGGCTCTGCAGGGTTGACTCATTCCTCGAGCTGGAATGTTCAAGGTGGACTGTCTCGCCTGGAAATCAGCATTTCCCTGGCAGCAGAGGTGCTGGGGGAGACCAAAGGTTCATGAAGAGGTGTGGGAAGGTCCCCCACAGCCTGCACAGGAGGAGGGAAAGGGAGAAGAGCTTTCCTTGGGGGAAGAAACACTTACACCCTGCTTTCCACCCTCAAAAAAGTCAGAATTTTCCCAGTTTTCCAGTCCTGTGGCCAGCAAGGAGAGGAGGAAGAGGAGGAACTCCACGGGAGAGGACTTGTCCACATCAGAGGCCCTGTGATCCTCCCACACCAGGCTCTGTGTTGCTTAGGGAACAACTTGTGTGACTCATGAGAGATGTTTGATATGTTTATAAATACATATTTTGACAGTTTCTCCAGAGGCTGATGGTTCCTGGGGGTGTTTCCCCAGGAAAAGCTGTCTGGAAGCTTTGCCCCTGTCTGTGTGTGGTTGAGTGCCAGTGAAACATCTGCAAACCCCACCCTTTGGAGGTGTGCTGTTTGTTCCCATTTCCTGCTGTGCCTTTTGCCCTCCTTACCTTCCCTTTTCAGCCTTGAGGTTTAGGGAAAAAAATACCAGCATCCCATTTTTTTCTCCCCAGGATGCACAACCGAGCTGGGAAAGGTGATTTTTTTTTTTTTTCCCCATTAAGGGCTCTCCTAATCCATTTTTTTTCCTTCTGCCCACAGGTATGAGAATCCTGGTCACCCTGCTGTTGGATACTCTGCCTATGTTAGGCAACGTCCTCCTCTTGTGCTTCTTTGTCTTCTTCATCTTTGGGATTGTGGGTGTCCAGCTCTGGGCGGGGCTGCTGAGGAACAGGTGTTTCCTAGACAGGAATTTTGCAATGTGAGTACAGCAAAAGAAACTCTTCCCCCTTTTTTTTTTTTCCCCTTCCTTTCTCTCTCCAGCTGGAGAGAAATCCAGCAGGTCCAAGCAGGAACTTTTTTTGTCCGGCAAAAAAAATCCACTTACTGAGGGTTTGGAGCTGCACCTGAAGGACGAGGGGGGTGGTGGTGGTTTGGATTATCTCTGCCTGAGGAAGCTGAGAGCCCTGACTCTGGGAATTTAAGGGTTTAGATCAGGCAAAGGGATTACAGCTCTCCTGGGATTGCCACTTCTCCCAAGTGGTTCAGGTCTGGGGGGTCACTGAGCAGGGGGTTGGGAGGTGGGAGATGCTGCTGGAACACACAGATAAGTCCCTGTGGGTCTATTCAGATAAGAAGCTTGATGTGAGAGGCATCAAAAGCATTTGTACAGGGCTCTCAGTGTGGGACAGGCATGAGGGGTGGGCAGCACCTGCTCTTTTTGATGGAATTATGGAATCATTGAGGTTGGCAAAGGCCTCCAAGGTCGTCAAGTCCAACAGTAACGAAGCAAACTTGAGTTTTGGTTCTTCCAGACTCGGCAGTTTTGTGGACCAACATCCCTGCCAGGTGTGAGGGAGCTCATCACTGCCCTGGTGAGCCTCACCTGGGCCCCCCACCCACCCCCTGCCCATGGCCCAGCAGCTCTAGTTAAGCTCAGCCCGTGGCTCTTTATCCTGTTCAGGGTGGTGCTGCTGGCACCAGGATGGCTCCTGGCCCATCCCATGCCATGGGACACCCCGGCTCTTGCTGCTCCCTCAGCAGGACACTGAGCCTGGGCTGTTCTGCCCCTGCCCCCTCAGGGGTGTCAGGACCCCTTCAAACCCATCAGCACAACGAAAAGAGGAAAACTCAGTGCAGCCTTCCAGCTCTGCCAGGACGGGGAGCTCTGCCTGGGAAAAGCCTTTGGAGTGCTCCTGTCTGAGGATGTCAGTGGCTCAGAGGTGAGGAAATGCCTGAGACCAGCTATTTAGGGCAGCTCTAACTCTGTAAGAGAAGATGGAGCCTGTAATTACATCTTGTGAGTAATCATCTGCTGTCTACAACTCAGTATTGTCTGCAAGACAAGCAGAGATTATCCCTGAGCTCTACCCCAGGTCCTGCTCCTGCCTCTCACTGCTCAGTCCTGTGGTTCTCAGCTCTCCAGGCTTTTCCCTGCCCTGCAGATCAGCTCTTTTGGGGGGGGGCACTTTTTCATCCCATCAGAGGCGCTGAAAGGCAGAAAATCAGCGAGCCAGCCCTGAGTGTGCATTTCTACTCCAACACCTCGATGCTCCAAACTCTCTTTGCTGGTCACCAAGACCCTCCAGGCTCAGAGTGATCCCTGAGCCGTCACTTAAAAGCCCAGATTGTGGGGTTAAAGCTCTGCTTGGGTGGGCTGGTGCAGTGCTTGGAGCCCGAGGAGTGCAGAGCCGTAATTAGCCCCGGGGCCAGCCCCTCCCGTCTCTCTGCCCGGGTTTTTAAACGCTGCGTGATTTTTTTTTTTTTCCTGCAAAGTGGAGCTTTTAAAACGAACCACAGGGGGAAACGTTGGCTAAGTGCAGATATTAAGCAGGCAGTTATGTAATGGCCATTTAGCAGCATCAAAGGCAGCCCAGGATTTTCTTATCAGGGTCTCGCTCCCATTCAGGGAAGGCAGAGTCAGCCAGGCTCAGGACCGAGCCTTGGGGGAGCTGGTTCTGAGGAGGTTTTGGGAGGAATCTTCGCCTTCTCCCCTTCACCCCAGCTCTGAGCTGCTCCCTGGGTCCCTCCAGCAGCAGGCAGTGGGGAATTTGGGGGGGCTTGAGTCCTGTTGCTTCATTCCACGTGCTCGGGGATGCTGTGGTTCAAGTTACAGCATTCCAGAGACACCTGGACAAAGGAGGCTGCAGAGCTGGGAGGGGCTGGAGGATGGATGGATGGATGGATGGATGGATGGATGGATGGATGGATGGATGGATGGATGGATGGATGGATGGATGGATGGATGGAACAGCCCAGGTTTGGGGCTGAGCACCATGGTCATGGCTCACTTTTTTTTTTAACAGCCCCAGAGAGAGAAGACCTGAATTATTGGAGGGGCTCACCTTGGTGGTGAGGCCAAACCCTCCCACTTGAAAACAAAACTGCTTTGAACTGAGGGTGAACACCTGAACACAGCCCAGGAAGGGCCATAACCCCAAACTTGCCTGAGTAAACAAAGATTAAGCAAACTCATTGCTTCAGGTACAGCTTCTTACTGCCAGCAGCTTTCTGGGCCTTCAGCTTCATTGGAGGCATCAGATGGAAGAGGTGGCTTTGATTTTTGCCATCATTCTTCCCACGGAAACTTTTTCAATCCCCCTTGAAAAGTTGGCTGCCTCAAGTTAAAGCGACTATTTTTAAATGCAGCACATTCTGATAGAATTTTGGGGACTCCTTTGAGGTACACTGGAAGTATCTGCTTTCTCTCCTGGGGAATTGCAGTATCCTGCTGGAAGGAGGTTGTTTGAGGACTCCCAGTAGTGACTCTGAAGGAATTACAAGCAATCACTGGGCTGTTGCAGCAGTGAGGTGGCAAAAAAATGACCCGGGCTGCTTGTGTTTGGGACGTGGGAGAACCTGCCACTCCCCACCCTGCCCTGGAGATCCACAGGGATGTTTTGGAGGTCTCTGGTGGCTCAAACACCTCTTCAAGCCCTGGGGAGCTCCCTGGGACAACTGCTTGGAATAGCAGTGCCGGGATGGTCTGTGCTGGTCTGTGAGTGAGGGCAGCAGGAGCTGGAGGGGGAATTCCAGAAGGACTTTTTGGTTGGTCTGGTGCGAAAGAGGAACTCGTTCTGCCTGTGTGGGAAGGGCAAGCAGAGCCAGCAGTTTCTGGGGAAGGTCTCTGGGATATATGTGTCCCATACAGCCCCTCTGTCGATAGAGGAACTGGTCCACCCCCAGCTCGTCTGGGCTGTTGCTGCTGGGGCTGCTCCTCGTGTGTCGTTCTCCAGAGCAGCGTTTTCCAGTCCTGGAGTCTTTCAGGGAACTCAGTGGGTTGGAGGCAGGAGAGGGGAGAGGGCTGTGAAGTGCTCTGTGTGTCTCTGCCGCCGCAGGACAGTTCTGCTGTGAGCTCTTCAGTCTGAGTCAACTCCAGCCTGCTCGGTGTTGTTCTGCCTTCGGCTCCCGGGCTGGTGCAGAGCTGGGAGGAGGCACAGGCAGCTCAGTTTGTCTGAAAGGGGCCTAATTGCTCCTCCTGGCTTTGCTCTGCGCTGCAGTGCTGGTTGGCAGCAGGATTTCCTCCGAGAGCAGCTGCTTCTTGCAGGGACCAAATCCTGCTCAGTGCTGAGCTTCTTCTTCCACCTTTTCCCTTTCCTCCTCTGCTCCTCAGAAAGCTGGAGCAGGATTGTGCTCAGCACACACACACACACACACCAGGCTCCAGTGGTTGTAGTGTCCTGCATGGGATGGTTGGGGTGGGAGAACTGTGGTTGAGGGCAGGTGGAACAGAGAATAATTCCTTTGGTGTGCAGAGAAAGGACTTTCCTGCCCCGCTGTTGTTGTTCCTCCACATGAACGTGGTCGGGAACAGAGAAGGAGGAATACATTGCCAAGCTGCAGAGGAAGATGTGCAGAGGGCAGCTGGCTGGGCAGGGGGTGTTAATCCTCTCTGATGGGATAACAAATCCATTCTGGGGCTTAGTTTCTCATGTCTTTTCCCCAGAACACCACGTGGTTAATGGATTCATTAGCATTAATAAGTTATTTGCACCCTACCCATTGGCAAGTAACAGGGAAGGTCAGGTTGACCCTTCTGGAACGTGGAGGTGGATGGACTTGGCAGAGAGAACTCGTTTATTTTGTGGATATTGGGGATT